GCCTCGTAATCTACACTAAAGTGATTTGAGCCTGATTGGTCTTCTCTAGCCTGAGATATTAAAAACGAAAAATGGAATAAAAAAGATTTTGGCTTGCTCTTAATTCCTTAATTTGCGAGGTCATTTGAAGTAAGATTTTAATGTAAGCAAAAAATTAGTAGTTCTTTGTATTAAGCGCAAAAAGAATTAGTTAAGTTACGTTTGAAATAGAGTAATATGTTCGAAAACGACCATCTCACTTAGGTGGTCCTGTATTTGGAAACCTCAGAGTTCGCTAAACTTGGACCACAGGGGTCATTTTACTTGCTGATTACAAAACGATGCTCTTATGCTTTACAGTTCTTTAATCATGCTTACTGTACGTATACGATAATGGGTCAAACATCAATGTGCTAATATTTTGCATGATGGGCCTATTTGACATTGTTAAGGAATATCATGCTATGCAGCGGACGCCTTGATAACGACCCCCCCCCCCTCCCTGATTCTTCAATACGACCCCCCAGGTGTGGCATGCCACACCCCACTTATGGCATAACTTCCTTTAAGGGATCGCTAAGCTAGGATCCGGATGTACGCCTTGCCTTCGCATCGAAGAGGGGGGGTGCAAGAGTTGCCGGGAGACCTCCTTTCAGCTTGGAAAATCAAAGAAGCAAAAATGTTTAGTATTTTCGTTTTCAATTTTGCTGACTGAAAAGGAGCCATAGAACACCAACTAAAGCAACTTGGATCATGATTTTGAGCAGTGAATTCAACTGCAGATCGATATGCCTGCGATATTGGCTGCACGAAAAAACAAAAGATGGCCTAGGAGTAGTAAAGAGAAGAGGCAACGCTAGATGAAAAAAGGTTGTTGTTTGGCCAAGTAAAGCTCTATAACATCCGTGATGGCATTTCGAAAGACGGCTGATCTGATAATAGGTCTGATGTTACTGCTTTCAGAAATACTACCTGATATTGTGCTGATAAATGCTGTTCAAATATAGTACCTCGTTTTTATTTGATTGCACGCGTAGTGGATAAGCCACTTATCACCGCATTAAATCGAATTTCGCGCGCTTCTGCACAAACAGTTTAGAGCATTTTGATCGTATGGCAACTCTTTTTTAGAGCAATTGAGCAAGTCTGAACTGCTTATGCGACATGTTTTACGACTATGCTTTTTGCGTCGAGGGCTCGGCAGCAGCTAGAACCAGGGAGAATTCAAAACTCTCTTTTGATTTCGAAAATTTGTTACGAAGTCCCCACTAACCTTTTTCGACCCCCCCCCCCCTCACTACTTCTCACTTTTTTGATTGTGCTGTCACTCACCTTAAATTATATGGTACAAGGGTGATCACTCTTCTACCACTTTAAGAACAGGAGACTCAAAATTCTTTAGTGATGCATCATGCGCCGAATCTTTTACTCCATAGCCGTTACCAGTCCACCACTTGCACCCTTCCCTTCACATTACCATTACTCACTTTCCATTTCTTTCCCTCCTATCCACCATCCACGTCTGCCTCCCCCCCCCCATTGGAAATGATGATGGAAATGTATATCATGGGAAATAGATAGACAAGCATAACCGATACCACATGGTTTGTTTAGGGGAGTGCTTTACGATTGGAGCAGATTGGGCGATCAACGAAAACATTCTGAGGGCAATTGGGCGACCAACGAAAATTTTCTGAGGGCAATACTAAGCCTAAGGCCTCGGGCAGGGTTTACGCAAATTCATCGCCGCGATTCTTCCAAGAGGACAAACAGTCACGAGTCCATTGCATTCCGATCATTTTGCATTTCGATCGTGATAGTTAGTCGCGATTGGTGTGTTGGAAGCTGTCACAACCTAAATGCTAGATGTTCGGTTAGCAATAAACTCGTAACTGTTTGTTTGTTGGAACAATCGCGGCGACAAACTTGCGTGAACTCTCCCCGAGGCCTAAAGGAAAGGTATAAAATGGGTTTGGCTCGTATTAAAACTTTTACGATGAAGGTAGGTATAAGCAAGCAAGTACATCAAAAAAATCATGTGAGCAAAAGGTCAGTTTCACCTCAGCTGTAACCTAGGTAGCTAATTCGGAGAAAAGCGCACCTTTTATTCGCATAAGTTTTCATGTATGATTGGCCATAAATCGAGTTCCCCTCACGCGCTTCAAATTTGGTGTCATATCAGCGCGTCTTGCTTGCAAACAACATCTTTGTTTGTTTGGGGTAGAGTGTGCCGCCTGCTTGTCGCCTGCAATCTGGCGGCATGCTAGTGGCTCCTTCGCTCCGGAGTCCGAGAAAAAAAACGATATTTCCATTTGCTTGCTGTGCCTGGCCTTCTTTAAAATTCACCGCTTTGAGGACTTATTCGGGGCTTTCTAGAGCTCTGTGGAAATATTTCACAATAATCCAGTCTTGTATGGGACCACACAAGTTGTATTAGGTCGTCCCAAAAGTAATTTCACTTTTTCAAGCGGTTGCCACATTCGATGGAAACCTTTCTGAGAGATCTTGGTAGCGTTCGATGCAGAATTTCATTCTCTTTCTAACGATTATAGAACTGCTGCAAAACAGTCAATGAGCTTTCAGAAAATAACCAAAATCTGCGACCCATGCTTTTTGAGATGATCAAGTTTTACGATTTTTAAAACTTTCATATCAATCCTCAGGAGGAGTTCAAGTAAAGATTCAATAGATTAAAGCTTACAGAATACAATGCAACTTTTTTCTCTTTTCCATAGCTTGTCATACATTTTTAATAGTATTTTAACTGATGCTACCGATTTCCATACTTGGACAGCTAAATCCTTGTGGAACATCAAAGGAAGAGCAGCTCGGGTGCTGTTTAATGCAGCATTTTCTCCTCTTTTCAATGGGTGTTTTCTGTTTCCGATTCGTTTAGTTTTCGGGGATAAAATCATCACAATTCATTTTTTTAAGGAGCCCCAGGCTGCACCCGGAAAACTCGAAGTTTGATATTTCAAATTTTTAAACTCTCATTTGCTTTATAAATTCAATATTAAGTCATATATCATCTTGAAAGCTTGAATTACTGATGTTTGATGCGATTGTGGCTGAGGTGGGACTCCCAAAACGGATGGCTTTGTTTAAAAATCTTTTAAAAAATTACGGCGAGCTACGAGAAAGAGAAAAAAGAAGTACTGTATTCTATGATGTTTACTCTATCGAATCGTTACTTGAACTCCTCCTGAGAATTGATATGAAAGTTTTAAAAAATCGTGAAACTTAACCCTCTCAAAAAGCATGGGTCGCAGATTTTGGTTATTTTCTGAAAGCTCATTGACTGTTTTGCAGCAGTTTTATAATCGTTAGAAAGAGAATGAAATTCTGCATCGAACCCTACCAAGATCTCTCAGAAAGGTTTGTTCCATCGAATGTGGCAACCGTTTGAAAAAAGCGAAATTACTTTTGGGAACGACCTAATAGATAACTGCCTTTGCTAGGCTGGTGCGATATTTTCTTTGCTGTTCGAATCGATAGCTTTTCATACAATGACGAAGTGTATTCCTGTCTTGTACGGAACTAACCAGGTTGTATAGTATTGCCTTTGTTGGACGGCTTAGCAGCTGCTCCAGTAAATTGATGAACTACAAAATTTTTCAAAGGACCAAAACGTATTCCTCTCTTTCTCCTTAGGAACTAACAAGGTCGTAAAGTGCTGCCTTTGTTGTGCACACGCGGAGTTCGACTTTGTTGCTAATCTAAAGGTAATCGATAGAACACGAGGGCAATTTCTATTTATATGGAACTTACTAGGTCGTGCACCTTTGTTATGATGCTTAAAGGCACCGTCCACCCCAAATTTCGACCTACGTGTTTTTGCCGTTCCAAGGCCTTCTCGTACTGATTCCGAATATCAAGTCGAAAATCCGCGAAAATCACGAAAAATTCCCTGTTTTCTGAACCCACAGAGCGATTTCTTCGGAAGGTTGGGCGCCCACGGATGGGCGGGACGAAAGTCACGCCCACTCAAAGGGGAGGAGCCAACGTGGCAAATCTGTCATCCGAGCGAATTTCGAAGCAATTTTCTCGCTTCGGAAGCAGCTTTTGCCAGGGCGAATTGGATAAGTATACAGTTGGGGGACCCACTACTGTTAAGCATCAAAATCTCATCGACCCAATTTTGGGTGAACGGTGCCTTTAACTTTAGTGGGTTGGTGATCTAAAGCGAGGTTTTCAAAAAACCTGTGTATTACAATCTTTCATGAAAACTAACTAGGCGAACTGCCGTTGTTCGGATGCCCAGGAGCTTCATTGACGTGCTGATTTAAAGCGAAATTTCAAACAATAACCCCGGTAGCAATTTCCAATCCTTCTGTAATATGGAATGAAATGGCGCACTTGTCTTTTTGTGGATAGACGTGACGTCTGCTTGTTCACGATGCTGACTGTACTTTCGCGATGGTGTTTTCGTGTCGGTGATCGTTTTCAGTTAGACATAGAGCTTGTTATTTGAAGAGAATTAGCAATGACTTCTTCCTTTCCGAAATTATCAACTTTGTAAAAATTTTGTTAATGGGACTGGGATTGGCGGAATAAGGGGCCGCGAGCATGCTCGTCAACTGCAACTACAATCAGTTTCATCAACTGCCTTTATAAATTTCATCAATTTTTTTTGCCAAATTCCAGCTACGTGGCAGGAAGTTGACACAACGGGGGAGAGGGGGTCGCGCGGTGATTACAAATGATAGCACTTTGTAATAATGTCTATTACTTTTGTCGATTTATCGATTTGTGCAAAGTTTGATCGGCATGGCTGGATGTCGCCACTAGGGTATGAGTGAGCATGCTAATAAAGGAGACGCGGGCGGATGCTGCTGCTGTTCATCATTTGGGATGCCGTTTCGCCACAGGGGTGTTCATGCATGCGGTAAAGCTCCCTACATCGCATTCAAGGCTTCAGTAAGTGCATTTTCAAGCGGACGTGATAATTTCTACATTACAAACGTAGCTCCTTGTGCGAAGATTCAAATGAAGGGAAGTGTACTTCTTTTGTGAAAACTAACCAGGTGATAGAGAGCTTCCTTTTTTAGTGTGCCCAGGAAGAGTGGATTTCCGACCTGAAGTAAGGTTTTCAAACATTACGAACTTACAAGGAGAGTATACTTAGTCGAAAGCACCAATCCAGTTGAGACATATATCGTCGTGACCTGCTCGAAGCGCTGATTTCAAATCTGTCCTCCTTATCTGCGGAGCGCCTCTGGGTGAGAAGCTATGACCGTTTTAAGAGCCAAAAATTGAATGGGTAAAGAGAATAAAATTAATTGTTACAACATGTATATCACGCAGATAGACTCGTTTTAGGTGTTGATATAGCAGAGAGACATTTTTATTTGCGCAGAGTAATCTGACAGACATCACTCCCCCATTCGAGCCTAACTGGAGACTTCTGCGTATAATTTTCTTCTTCCCTCCACTTCAAATTTTCTCCACAAAAACAGCCATAATTCGTTGCCCAAAGTCGCTCCGCAGCTGATTTTGCCAGGTATGAAATCAGCGCTTCGAGTACGTCACGATGATATATGCCCCATCTGGATTGGTGCTTTCGATTAAGTATCCTCTCCTTGTTAGCCCCTTCTGCGAGGATTCAAATAAAGGGAAGTGTATTTCTTTTGTGAAAACTAACCAGGTGGTAGAGAGCTTCCTTTTTTAGTGTGCCCAGGAAGAGTGGATTTCCGACCTGAAGTGAGGTTTTCAAATATTACGAACTTAGCTCCTTCTACGAGGATTCAAATAAAGGGAAGTGTATTTCTTTTGTGAAAACTAACCAGGTGGTAGAGAGCTTCCTTTTTTAGTGTGCCCAGGAAGAGTGGATTTCCGACCTGAAGTGAGGTTTTCAAATATTACGAACTTAGCTCCTTCTGCGAGGATTCAAATAAAGGGAAGTGTATTTCTTTTGTGAAAACTAACCAGGTGGTAGAGAGCTTCCTTTTTTAGTGTGCCCAGGAAGAGTGGATTTCCGACCTGAAGTGAGGTTTTCAAATATTACGAACTTAGCTCCTTCTGCGAGGATTCAAATAAAGGGAAGTGTATTTCTTTTGTGAAAACTAACCAGGTGGTATAGAGCTTCCTTTTTTAGTGTGCCCAGGAAGAGTGGATTTCCGACCTGAAGTGAGGTTTTCAAATATTACGAACTTAGCTCCTTCTGCGAGGATTCAAATAAAGGGAAGTGTATTTCTTTTGTGAAAACTAACCAGGTGGTAGAGAGCTTCCTTTTTTAGTGTGCCCAGAAAGAGTGGATTTCCGACCTGAAGTGAGGTTTTCAAATATTACGAACTTAGCTCCTTCTGCGAGGATTCAAATAAAGGGAAGTGTATTTCTTTTGTGAAAACTAACCAGGTGGTAGAGAGCTTCCTTTTTTAGTGTGCCCAGGAAGAGTGGATTTCCGACCTGAAGTGAGGTTTTCAAATATTACGAACTTAGCTCCTTCTGCGAGGATTCAAATAAAGGGAAGTGTATTTCTTTTGTGAAAACTAACCAGGTGGTAGAGAGCTTCCTTTTTTAGTGTGCCCAGGAAGAGTGGATTTCCGACCTGAAGTGAGGTTTTCAAATATTACGAACTTAGCTCCTTCTGCGAGGATTCAAATAAAGGGAAGTGTATTTCTTTTGTGAAAACTAACCAGGTGGTAGAGAGCTTCCTTTTTTAGTGTGCCCAGGAAGAGTGGATTTCCGACCTGAAGTGAGGTTTTCAAACATTACGAACATATAAGGAGAGGATACTTAGTCGAAAGCACCAATTCAGCTGAGACATATATCGTCGTGACCTGCTCGAAGCGCTGATTTCAAATCTGTCCTCCTTATCTGCGGAGCGCCTCTGGGTGAGAAGCTATGACCGTTTTAAGAGCCAAAAATTGAATGGGTAAAGAGAATAAAATTAATTGTTACAACATGTATATCACGCAGATAGACTCGTTTTAGGTGTTGATATAGCAGAAAGACATTTTTATTTGCGCAGAGTAATCTGACAGACATCACTCCCCCATTCGAGCCTAACTGGAGACTTCTGCGTATAATTTTCTTCTTCCCTCCACTTCAAATTTTCTCCATAAAAACAGCCATAATTCGTTGCCCAAAGTCGCTCCGCAGCTGATTTTGCCAGGTATGAAATCAGCGCTTCGAGTACGTCACGATGATATATGCCCCATCTGGATTGGTGCTTTCGATTAAGTATCCTCTCCTTGTTAGCCCCTTCTGCGAGGATTCAAATAAAGGGAAGTGTATTTCTTTTGTGAAAGCTAACCAGGTGGTAGAGAGCTTCCTTTTTTAGTGTGCCCAGGAAGAGTGGATTTCCGACCTGAAGTGAGGTTTTCAAACATTACGAACTCAGCCCCTTCTGCGAGGATTCAAATAAAGGGAAGTGTATTTCTTTTGTGAAAACTAACCAGGTGGTAGAGAGCTTCCTTTTTTAGTGTGCCCAGGAAGAGTGGATTTCCGACCTGAAGTGAGGTTTTCAAACATTACGAACTTATAAGGAGAGGATACTTACAAGGGAAGCTTGTTTAGTCGAAGCGGCCTTTCCAAATGAGATGTATACCATATTAAAGCGCATAAAACGCTGATTCCAAAACTGTTTTCCTAATCTGCAGAACTTTCATGGACGAGCGTTTTTTTTTTGCCAAAAATTGAATGTGCATTTTGAATAAAATGAGTTGTTAGAATCTTACTATCCTTCAAATAACGTAACCAAGTGTGGTATAATTTTTATTTTAGAGTAATTTTCAAGTGAAGTGTTCTGGTGATTATCATTGCTCCGTGGAAGAGCTAGAAAAAGTATTACGGTTATTTTTGTCACACTTGCACATTCAATTTTTGACTCTAAAAAACGCTCATAACTTCTCGTCCATAAACGTTCTGCAGATACGGAAGGCAGATTTGGAAACAGCATTTTATGCTCTACAATGTGGTGTACATCCCATCAAAAAAGGCCACTTCGACTAAACAAGCATTCCTTGTTAGACGATTCTTTGGAGGTCATTGTGTAGAGCTTGCTTCGCTCTATCAAATGGTACCCCAAGTCTGCCAGGAAAACAAATATACTCTGATTTATTTAGAAATACGGTTTACTTTTGGGACAACCTAATAGAATCCAAAGCAAAGTAGGTAACTTTCTAGACCTTCTGAAATTTTGGCGACCGAAATGTTAGGTTATCCCAAAAGTTACGTCGTTTCGTTATTGAAAAACCTGTGCCTTGTCGCTGTCATATCATATAAGCTTCTTTGCAATCATATTAGAATGTAAACCTCTCTTCTTGTAAAAATGTCTTGATGACTAATATACACTCATTGCAGAGATAAGAATGGAAAAAGAAAACCATTCATGTTTTGATCATTATATCAGGTTGCATCGAAAGTTCGTTCGCACAATTTTCAAAAATCCATAACTTCTGATTTTTCCGACCGATTTAACTTTCCTTATTCTGAGATCAAAGAGTAAGTCATGGTCTTATAAGGATATCTTAGTGGTTACTAATGTTCACCTACTGCATATATAAGAGCGGTAGAAAAAAATTGCTCAAATTCCAAATTTTTTGTGTAAGTTTATAAAAATCAGAAACTTGTAATAAAAATTGGAGCCGCCGCTATCATAGGGTCTTTCACCTGCACTTCCTAAATGTGCAAACTTTTTGCTGATTGAACGCTTCTATCAAATGCTATGGTTCTCGGAAAGAATGTCAAAATAAATCAAAACTGCCTTTTGTATTGCTTGCTCGAAAATCACAACTTTTCACAGGGGTGCTCCATCAGCATAAACTTTGCGCAGTTAGAAAGAGCAGGTAATAGAGCCTACAATACCGATTGCTCCAATTTTTCTTGCAAGTTTCCGATTTTTTATGACCCTACACAAAAAATTCAAATTGAGTAGTTTTTTTTCTACCGTTCCTATTTATGCAGTAGATGAACATAGGTAACCAGTTGAAATATCATTATAAAGAGCTAGATATACTCTTTCACATAAAAGCAGTTGAATAGATTTGAAAAATCAGAAGTTACGAATTTTTGAAAATGGTGCAAATGAACTTTCGGGATATCCTATTAGAATCTGGAACCGTAAGAACACGTGTTATGATTTACTCTCTGCAAATAAGAAAATTTGTGCTCTTTGGACGTCTATATGAAAAATTACGATTTCCGACAGAAGTGACATATTAATCAATTTTGGCGTTTTTTGCTGTAAACTCGAAAATTCACACTTCTCACAAAAACTTCCAAACACCACGAATTATTTTCAATTGCAAAGAGTAAGTCATAAAATCTATGTTGATGATTTCAGACTTTTCTGCAGCTAATTCTTGACCATCTTTTTAAGACTCCCAAAGTGGGTTTTCTCCTAAAGCCAATAACAATATAATAAATCGAATGGGTTTTCCGCGTTAAACAAAATAAATTTTAAAGAGGCACTTTTGCAATGTAATATTATATAGTGCGTTTTTTTTGTGCTTCATTCATCGAAATCCAGTTGTTATTGCAGTGAAAAATAAAATAAAAATAAAAATGTGCCCGCATACGGTTTATCCTGAGTAATATAAGTTATCGATGTGAGACCACGTGTAGAGCATATGTGGAGATAAAGCACAATTCTGATTTTCAACAAACGGGATTTAGAGCTTGGTAAGGATACAAACATTTTTGATTGTAACTTCAAATAAAATGTACAAATGTGAGCAAAATGACGAAAACTACGAATAGTTATGAATTCTTGAATGTACTTCCTTTCTATTTTTCTTTTTTCAAAACTCTCAATTGTGGCAATACATTTGATCCCACAAATCAAATTTGATGCACCTTGCAGTTATAGATTAATTCCAACGTGATCTTGGTTCGCCTCTACCCCAGTTATAAGACTGCAAATTCAACGACCTGCTCTATTCATCATTTTTCACTGCAATAACAACTGGATTTCGATGAATGAAGCACAAAAAAACGCACTATATAATATTACATTGCAAAAGTGCCTCTTTAAAATTTATTTTGTTTAACGCGGAAAACCCATTCGATTTATTATATTGTTATTGGCTTTAGGAGAAAACCCACTTTGGGAGTCTTAAAAAGATGGTCAAGAATTAGCTGCAGAAAAGTCTGAAATCATCAACATAGATTTTATGACTTACTCTTTGCAATTGAAAATAATTCGTGGTGTTTGGAATTTTTGTGAGAAGTGTGAATTTTCGAGTTTAGCAAAAAACGCCAAAATTGATTAATATGTCACTTCTGTCGGAAATCGCGACTTACAAGGGAAGCTTGTTTGGTCGAAGCGGCCTTTCCAAATGAGATGTATACCATATTAAAGCGCATAAAACGCTGATTCCAAAACTGTCTTCCTTATCTGCAGAACTTTCATGGACGAGCGTTTTTTTTGCCAAAAATTGAATGTGCATTTTGAATAAAATGAGTTGTTAGAATCTTACTATCCTTCAAATAACGTAACCAAGTGTGGTATAATTTTTATTTTAGAGTAATTTTCAAGTGAAGTGTTCTGGTGATTATCATTGCTCCGTGGAAGAGCTAGAAAAAGTATTACGGTTATTTTTGTCACACTTGCACATTCAATTTTTGACTCTAAAAAACGCTCATAACTTCTCGTCCATAAACGTTCTGCAGATACGGAAGGCAGATTTGGAAACAGCATTTTATGCTCTACAATGTGGTGTACATCCCATCAAAAAAGGCCACTTCGACTAAACAAGCATTCCTTGTTAGACGATTCTTTGGAGGTCATTGTGTAGAGCTTGCTTCGCTCTATCAAATGGTACCCCAAGTCTGCCAGGAAAACAAATATACTCTGATTTATTTAGAAATACGGTTTACTTTTGGGACAACCTAATAGAATCCAAAGCAAAGTAGGTAACTTTCTAGACCTTCTGAAATTTTGGCGACCGAAATGTTAGGTTATCCCAAAAGTTACGTCGTTTCGTTATTGAAAAACCTGTGCCTTGTCGCTGTCATATCATATAAGCTTCTTTGCAATCATATTAGAATGTAAACCTCTCTTCTTGTAAAAATGTCTTGATGACTAATATACACTCATTGCAGAGATAAGAATGGAAAAAGAAAACCATTCATGTTTTGATCATTATATCAGGTTGCATCGAAAGTTCGTTCGCACAATTTTCAAAAATCCATAACTTCTGATTTTTCCGACCGATTTAACTTTCCTTATTCTGAGATCAAAGAGTAAGTCATGGTCTTATAAGGATATCTTAGTGGTTACTAATGTTCACCTACTGCATATATAAGAGCGGTAGAAAAAAATTGCTCAAATTCCAAATTTTTTGTGTAAGTTTATAAAAATCAGAAACTTGTAATAAAAATTGGAGCCGTCGCTATCATAGGGTCTTTCACCTGCACTTCCTAAATGTGCAAACTTTTTGCTGATTGAACGCTTCTATCAAATGCTATGGTTCTCGGAAAGAATGTCAAAATAAATCAAAACTGCCTTTTGTATTGCTTGCTCGAAAATCACAACTTTTCACAGGGGTGTTCCATCAGCATAAACTTTGCGCAGTTAGAAAGAGCAGGTAATAGAGCCTACAATACCGATTGCTCCAATTTTTCTTGCAAGTTTCCGATTTTTTATGACCCTACACGAAAAATTCAAATTGAGTAGTTTTTTTTCTACCGCTCCTATTTATGCAGTAGATGAACATAGGTAACCAGTTGAAATATCATTATAAAGAGCTAGATATACTCTTTCACATAAAAGCAGTTGAATAGATTTGAAAAATCAGAAGTTACGAATTTTTGAAAATGGTGCAAATGAACTTTCGGGATATCCTATTTGAATCTGGAACCGTAAGAACACGTGTTATGATTTACTCTCTGCAAATAAGAAAATTTGTGCTCTTTGGACGTCTATATGAAAAATTACGATTTCCGACAGAAGTGACATATTAATCAATTTTGGCGTTTTTTGCTGTAAACTCGAAAATTCACACTTCTCACAAAAACTTCCAAACACCACGAATTATTTTCAATTGCAAAGAGTAAGTCATAAAATCTATGTTGATGATTTCAGACTTTTCTGCAGCTAATTCTTGACCATCTTTTTAAGACTCCCAAAGTGGGTTTTCTCCTAAAGCCAATAACAATATAATAAATCGAATGGGTTTTCCGCGTTAAACAAAATAAATTTTAAAGAGGCACTTTTGCAATGTAATATTATATAGTGCGTTTTTTTTGTGCTTCATTCATCGAAATCCAGTTGTTATTGCAGTGAAAAATAAAATAAAAATAAAAATGTGCCCGCATACGGTTTATCCTGAGTAATATAAGTTATCGATGTGAGACCACGTGTAGAGCATATGTGGAGATAAAGCACAATTCTGATTTTCAACAAACGGGATTTAGAGCTTGGTAAGGATACAAACATTTTTGATTGTAACTTCAAATAAAATGTACAAATGTGAGCAAAATGACGAAAACTACGAATAGTTATGAATTCTTGAATGTACTTCCTTTCTATTTTTCTTTTTTCAAAACTCTCAATTGTGGCAATACATTTGATCCCACAAATCAAATTTGATGCACCTTGCAGTTATAGATTAATTCCAACGTGATCTTGGTTCGCCTCTACCCCAGTTATAAGACTGCAAATTCAACGACCTGCTCTATTCATCATTTTTCACTGCAATAACAACTGGATTTCGATGAATGAAGCACAAAAAAACGCACTATATAATATTACATTGCAAAAGTGCCTCTTTAAAATTTATTTTGTTTAACGCGGAAAACCCATTCGATTTATTATATTGTTATTGGCTTTAGGAGAAAACCCACTTTGGGAGTCTTAAAAAGATGGTCAAGAATTAGCTGCAGAAAAGTCTGAAATCATCAACATAGATTTTATGACTTACTCTTTGCAATTGAAAATAATTCGTGGTGTTTGGAATTTTTGTGAGAAGTGTGAATTTTCGAGTTTAGCAAAAAACGCCAAAATTGATTAATATGTCACTTCTGTCGGAAATCGCGACTTACAAGGGAAGCTTGTTTAGTCGAAGCGGCCTTTCCAAATGAGATGTTTACCATATTAAAGCGCATAAAACGCTGATTCCAAAAGTGTCTTCCTTATCTGCAGAACTTTCATGGACGAGCGTTTTTTTTGCCAAAAATTGAATGTGCATTTTGAATAAAATGAGTTGTTAGAATCTTACTATCCTTCAAATAACGTAACCAAGTGTGGTATAATTTTTATTTTAGAGTAATTTTCAAGTGAAGTGTTCTGGTGATTATCATTGCTCCGTGGAAGAGCTAGAAAAAGTATTACGGTTATTTTTGTCACACTTGCACATTCAATTTTTGACTCTAAAAAACGCTCATAACTTCTCGTCCATAAACGTTCTGCAGATACGGAAGGCAGATTTGGAAACAGCATTTTATGCTCTACAATGTGGTGTACATCCCATCAAAAAAGGCCACTTCAACTAAACAAGCATTCCTTGTTAGTCGAAAGCACCAATCCAGCTGAGACATATATCGTCGTGACCTGCTCGAAGCGCTGATTTCAAATCTGTCCTCCTTATCTGCGTAGCGCCTCTGGGTGAGAAGCTATGACCGTTTTAAGAGCCAAAAATTGAATGGGTAAAGAGAATAAAATTAATTGTTACAACATGTATATCACGCAGATAGACTCGTTTTAGGTGTTGATATAGCAGAGAGACATTTTTATTTGCGCAGAGTAATCTGACAGACATCACTCCCCCATTCGAGCCTAACTGGAGACTTCTGCGTATAATTTTCTTCTTCCCTCCACTTCAAATTTTCTCCACAAAAACAGCCATAATTCGTTGCCCAAAGTCGCTCCGCAGCTGATTTTGCCAGGTATGAAATCAGCGCTTCGAGTACGTCACGATGATATATGCCCCATCTGGATTGGTGCTTTCGATTAAGTATCCTCTCCTTGTTAGCCCCTTCTGCGAGGATTCAAATAAAGGGAAGTGTATTTCTTTTGTGAAAGCTAACCAGGTGGTAGAGAGCTTCCTTTTTTAGTGTGCCCAGGAAGAGTGGATTTCCGACCTGAAGTGAGGTTTTCAAACATTACGAACTTAGCCCCTTCTGCGAGGATTCAAATAAAGGGAAGCGTACTCCTTTTGTGAAAACTAACCAGGTGGTAGAGAGCTTCCTTTTTTAGTTTGTCCAGGAAGAGTGGATTTCTGACCTGAGGTGAGGTTTTCAAACATTGCAAACTTAGCCCCTTGTGCGAGAATTCAAATGAAGGGAAGTGTACTTCTTTTGTGAAAACAAACCAGGTGTTGAGCTTCCTTCTCCAGTTTGCCCAGGACTAGTGGATTTCTGACCTGAAGTAAGTCCTCAATTAGTTAGCAACGTACTTCTTATGGAAACAAACCAGGTGATAGCGAACTGCCTTTCTTGAGCTCAGTTCCTTCCTGATCTTTGAGACCCTTACCACCTGAGAAATTGTCTATGAGAACAGAAGCCGAAACCCGCTTTTATCGCTGAACTGACCTTTATTGAAGCCTCCAAATTTAAATGGGCGATTCGGCAAACTTGAGGGTTGCTGATCTGGAGAAGATATGTTCCAAATTATGAAGCATATTCCTGTTTGTATGGAACTAACCAGGTGGTTGCCCAGGAGGAGTTGATTTCTGACCTGAAGTGAAGTTTTTAAACATTACAAATGTTGTGCACCGGACAAGAAAAGTGTTGAAGAGAATGAAGAAGATGCGATCTTCATTATGATAATCTTGATATCTCCTTTTTGGGTATAAATGATTCAGTTTTTTAAGTAACATTCTTTTCTCCTATTCTGCTATTCCGAATAAACGATTATATCTATCGTCTTCATCACCGTCGTTATGGATCCAACAACAAACTTAGCCCCTTGTGCGAGGATTCAAATAAAGGAAAGTGTACTTCTTTTGTGAAAACTAACCGGGTGATAAAGAGCTTCCTTCTCCAGTTTGCCCAGGAGGAGTGAATTCCTGACCTGAAGTGAGGTTTTCAAACATCACAAACGTAGCCCCTTGTGCGAGGATTTAAATGAATTGAAGTGTACTTCTGCTGTGAAAACTAACCAGGTGGTAAAGAGCTTCCTTCTCCAGTTTGCCCAGAAGGAGTTGATTTCTGACCTGAAGTGAAGTTTTCAAACATTACAAATGTTGTGCACCGCACAAGAAAAGTGTTGAAGAGAATGAAGAAGATACGATCTTCATTATGATAATTTTATCTCCTTTTTGGGTATAAATGATTCAGTTTTCATTTACTGACATTCTTTTCTCCTATTCTGCTATTCCGAATAAACGATTATATCTATCGTCTTCATCACCGTCGTTATGGGTCCAACAAGTGGCGATCAGACGCCGAGTCCGAGCCCGAACCCGCCCCCCAACATGGACCCAATTCACTTCCTGATGCTGCAAATCATGGAGCTGTGGAAAGAAGTGAAGAAGAAACAAGAATCCAGCGAGGATTACGTGATGAATGCACTTGACTCGTTTACCAGAATTCAACCATGACCCTGAGAATGGATGCACGTTTGACGTATATCTGCAACGCTAATATAATAATCAAGAACGACGGAGCCGCACTGGATGACAACGCAAAAGCCAGGATAAATAGTATCCCGTCTCAACTATAAGACACAATAAGACACATGCCCTTCTCGCAAACACAATGGCCCTTAGTAAAGCTCGGTCTGTTCAGGTGAACTGAACTTATCCCATCAGATCACCTCACGTCAGGTGAACTGATGACCTCCCACTTTCCCATGCTATAAGAATGGCGAGTGAACTGATAGTTGACCATCTGTCCACCTGTTGCAGTCAACTCTTCCACACCCGTTCACGTTCAAGTGACCTGAACGTGAACTGATGTTAGAGTGATGCAAATAGTGTGTATAAGAGGAGACGCAGACAAGACTCCCGTAAGTTGCTTCTAACTTACGATACACATCAGTTGGGCTAAAAATGCAGACGAAATCGGCGCAAAACTGCACAATCGCGCCCGAAAAGGAGAGGATCGATGAACAGCTGATTATCGCGTGTGGAAAGGAAGAAAACAGAATTTTTTCTTTTGTAAAGTTTGTTGGCTTTTTTCTCTGAAAAGCTGCTTAAGGCAAGAATTTTTAGATTTATTTCATTGAATTCATGTTGGAGTTATTTCAATTTTGCATAAAATTTTCGTCAAAAATGCGTTTTTGTTTCATCCATGCATTTTCCAGGCGAAATCCTTGATAGCGATCATCATTGATTTTCCGATAGTGGTCGCTATCAAAGACGCCCTGCGATACAGCGAAAGCGTGGCGCTAGCCGGTGTCGAACCATGGCCGCGCGCGTTCAATTTCAACCGCTTACCTGCTCGACCAAACCAGCTCTAGTGGTTGCCTTTTCAAGAGCGAACATGATCATCATGTCTAGAAAGAGATCCGCATCCAGAAATAGTTCACTGGATGCTGGACTGAGGCGCGTTGAGCTCGCCCCCGGTCCGCGTCAAGAGAGATGCACTGATGGGGGGTTTACTACGGGCCAATCGCTCTTAAGAAGATCGAAGACATGGACTTGCAAACGACAAAAGCGACTTTGTTGAAGCTATTTGGATGCCATAAGTCAATTTTCACACGCCGATACGAGTGTATGAGGATGAAATACCATTCATCGATGCCATTATCGGACTTCGTCGCAGAAGTCAATCGGAACGTGGAAAACGCAGAATTTGCTGCTATGACTGGTGAGCAATTCAAGTGCTTAATTTTCGTAAGCGCTCGAGAAGATGACGATTGTGTTGCACTACGAACCCGTGTAGTGAAGAAAATGAAAGCCAAACCGGACACAACCCTGATGGATTTGCTGGAGGAGTGCAACGACTACTCGGAATTGCAGTCTCACATTGAAATGATCAGGCACCACAGGTCCATGCGATTCAGAGGGATGAGGACCCGCAAGTCAACGCGATGCAGCGAGGCGAGAAACGGAAATCGTCCACTGATCAGAAGCCCAAAGCAGATTTACTTTGTATGAACTGCGGAGCAAGGACCCACAGGATCGGAAGATGCGAGAAGCCGATACATGAATGCAACTATTGCAAGAAACGCGGACATCTAGAAAAATATTGTCTGCGTAAACTGTTTGTTGATAACGCCAAGGACGTCCGTCACGACGCCACCTCACCACCTAAGGAGACCAAGGCCTACCGCAACGTGAAAATTAACGGAATGAATATCAATATGCGACTAGATTGTGGAGCCGAAGTCACTCATTGATTGCGACACATGGATCAAGATTGGCCGACCGTTAATAGAAGAACCCAAACATAATCTAACTGCTGCCATTGGGACCAGCATCAAATGCCATGGACAGTGCACATGTGAATACGTACTAAATGGCATCACTGCGAAAGGCACAGCATGTGTCGTTGATGGACCACCTCTACTCGGGATGGACTGGATCCGAAGCGACCGTGCTCTCTAAATATGATCATCGGCTGTTACGATGCCAATACAGTGGCATCCACGGAAGATACACTTGACAAGGAGAGAACTCAACTGACAACGATGCTGCAGGAAAATTTCGCGGAAGTGTTTCAACCCGGCTTAGGACATTGCACGAAAATGAAGGCGTCCCTCGCACTCAAAGAAGATACAAATAAGGCATTTCGCAAGGCCCGACCAGTACCGTATGCTGCCCTCCCTGCTGTTACCACCGAACTGGAACGACAAGTAAACATTGGAGTTCTCTCTCCAATCACTCATTCCGAATGGGCTGCACCTATTGTCTGCGTTAAGGAATCTGATGGAAAACTTCGTATTTGCGCCGACTTTTCAACTGGGCTGAACGACGCGTTAGAACCATACAAGTACCCGCTCCCTACCCCCGATGATGTCTTCACTAAATTGAATGATGGACGTTTCTTTACTACGCTCGACCTGAGCGAAGCGTACTTACAAGTGGAAATTGACGACGATGCCAAGCGACTGCTTGTCATTAACACTCATAAGGGACTCTTCCATTACAACCGATTACCCTTTGGAGTCAAGACAGCTCCTGGCATTTTCCAGCAGCTGATGGACACTATGATCGCAGATATAGCAGGAGTTGCTGCATACATGGATGACATAGTTATCATGGGATCGTCAGTTCATGAACACACCACACACCTCACTGCTGCTCTGCACCGCGTCAAGGATTATGAATTTCGACTCAGAATCGAGAAATGTGCCTTTCTATTAGGTTGGCTCGAAAGTTCTGGGACATTTTCGAACTAGATCTGCTATTTCTTGAAACCTAATGCATATATATCAGATTGAGGTACCATTCGATAGAGCAAAGCGAGCTCTACAAGATGGTATGCGAAAGTTTGCACCAGCTTCAATCCACCCTAAGTTTGCACCCAAAATCTGAGTCGTGCTGAAGTTCAAAAAATCGCGAAAAATTCATATCTTTGTTCAAACAAATCCTATGGATCTCCAACTTGCTCACAATAATTGCACACCACATCGGACACTCACATGCACCGTTCCTGTATTTCTTCCTCATCTGGAAGTCGAGAAAACGAAAATTTTCGTACTTTTATACAAACGAAGCTGTGTTGTTTCCACCCATGCAGTTGAATAGTACAAGCCCTCAGAAGTATAACCGTAAATTTTCATCTTTCCGTAAGCCCTAGTTGTCGAAAAAATTGATTTTAGCATGAAACGCCCGAGTGAGGAGAGCTCAATTCGGTTATTTCCGGGAACTACGGCCTGTAGAAAGCTGAAAAATTACGGTTATACTTCTAAGGGCTTGTGTCATTCAATTACATGAATGGAAACAGCACAGCTTCGTTTCTATAGAAGTACGGAAATTTTTTTCTCGATTTCCAGATGAGGAAGAAATACAGGAACGGTGCATGTGAGTGTCCGATGTGGTGTGCAATTATTGTGAGCAAGTTGGAGATCCGTAGGATTTGTTTGAACAAAGATATGAATTTTTCGCGATTTTTTGAACTCCAGCACGAGTCAGATTTTGGGTGCAAATTCATGGTGGATTGAAGCTGCTGCAAACTTTCGCATACCCTCTTGTAGTGCTTGCTTTGCTCTATCGAATGGTACCTCAATTTGATGTATGTGCGTTAGGTTTCAAGAAATAGCAGATCTAGTTCGAAAATGTCCCAGAACTTTCGAGCCAACCTAATACAACGAAAAATAAAATATTAGGTTGTCCGGAAATTAATGCCCGTTTTGAATTTCAACCGCAATAAGTCATACACTCTTCACTTCTAAATAGATAGCAAAGTACCATTCGATAGAGCAAAGCAAGCTCTACAAGATGGCCATCTTGCTTTTGCAACAGCTTTGATCCATCTCGAGTTTCGAGCCAAAAACTAAAAAGACTCAGCAGCCCGAAAAATCGAAAAAATCGTAACTCATTTCATAAAAATTCTACAAAAATTCTAATTTGCTCGCGTAAACACTATCCACATAAGACATCAATATACGCCGTTGCCGTATTTTTTTCTTTGTTAGAAACCAAGAAAACGGAAATTTTCGTGCATTTGCCAAAGTGATGCTGTGCCGTCCCCACATAGGTAGTTGTATACCACAAGCCTGAAAAAGTACAGACTTAAATGTTTAGCTCTCTACAAGCTTTAGTTCTCGAGAATTTTGAATTTTAGCTTGAACCAATTAAGTAAGGAAAGC